ATGGTTTCAACAACAAAATGAATTTACAAGAAATTCAAAAGCACCTGCAGGATTATGCTAAAACAACCATTTGCCTCAGGCTCAGCAAATATTGTCAAGTAATCCCCTTGGCTTCATCTTAGGGGTTATTCAACAATATTCACTTTGCAATCAGCGAATAATTGTTAAAGAATCATTCTGTAAATCAACACTTTGTTATTTTAGTAATGGTACCTTGTACTTTCATATTGCCCTGTGAAATGTTTCGTCTATGAAACCTTGGGGATGGTGCCATTTCCATGTCATCATCATTATCATCAAAGTAATAAGAGTCATTCAAGCTCATCATACTACCAATACTGATCATATCATCATCACTATTGCCAAAATAAAATTAAAAAAAAAAAAGAACAACTTTAGGTAGCAATTACAGCAGAAATCTTACAAACTATTTATAGTTAATAACTCTACTTTCTTTATAAGGGATTTTGAGTTTTGAAGGAAGGCTCTGAGTCTCACAAAACAGCAGGCAGGTAAAAAAACAGGTAATTTTAGGAACGCCACTTAACAACACCTGTATGTCCAAATTTAGAATTAGGTACAGTTTACCCAAGGAATTACAGTCAACTCCCCAACTGACAAACTCATACACACCAACTTGCACACACCAGCACACATACATGTACATACAGCCTAATAATCAAAATTGTGCATAAAGAAACTACTGTCTTAAAGAATCCTTTGAATCCTCTTCTACTGAACTTGCAGTCAAAGAAGGCAGTTATTTGATAATTGCCTCATGTGCTTGTCCATAGTATTTAGAGTGCATTGAAATTAGAGCCATAACCAATCTACACAACCATCATCATGTTAAAGTCAGCCTTGTAGCCCACAACCACACACCCCTTTTTCCTCAACAGGAATCATCTACACTTGATACATGTAAATTCTAATCCAATTCATTTCCAGATACATTTTGTTACAATGCTGCTAATATGGTTTTATCAGAATTTATCATCCAAATAGCAATCATCTTTTGGCCTTTGTCTCAATATACTTCTTCCATTAAGTTAAAATCTTTTTCTTGCACACTATTTTTGGTTTACAGTCAAGTTGCTTGAAACCCAAGTCATGTTGCCTGAAATTATAGTTATGTTGCCCAGAAAAAAAAAGTCAAGACACCCAAAGAAACAAATACTGAAAAGATCAGAATTTCAGACTGTAAATAGGCAATAAAGTTGACAAATTTTTATCACTAAAGTGCTCTTTGTTTCTGACTACACCATGAAGATTCTAAAAGCATTGTTTGTTCCTAACAACAAAGGGAAATGTTGTTCATTTCCAACAACAAAATGAAGTCTTTTTCCTTTGGCATGTAATCATTTCTTACTCACTGACATCTTGTAAGCTTGAGAAAATGTTTCATGGTTTGTAACACTACCATGAAGACTTTGACTACAAAGAAATTGATTGTATGGTCGGAATTGAAATATGTTTCAGTAACGATTCTAAAAGTGTTATTCATTTCTAATAATAAAGGGAAGTGTTGTCCGTTTCTAACAAAAAAATGAAGCATTGTTGACTTTATTGCCTATTTATGGTCAGAAATTCTGATATTTTAGTATTTGTTTCTTAAGGAAACTTGACTTTTTTTTTCTGGGCAACATAACTAAAATTTCGGGCAACATGACTCAGGTTTTGGGTGATGTGACTTCGGGTAAGATGACTCTCAGGCGATTTGACCAGTTACCATGTTTTCTAGCACAATCATAACACTCTCAGTCTTTTCATGTTGTTACTTACGTAGCCATCCCCTCCTTGATCAATACACAGGTCAGGTTCAATTCAAGGGAAGCTGACACTAACTTCTTACTGGCAACTTTCAGGGTAAGTGTAACATCAAAGGTGTGGCTTTCCACACTGGCATAATCAACCATGTTGATAGCACCTGTAGCTATGGGCTTTCTTCTTCCATTCTGGGCTTCCTGTGGTGGGAGAAAAAAACAGATAAAAGAAGACAAACTAAGTAAAAAGAAAAGTTTGACTCTTAGGAGTAATAATAAAAGTAATTTAGCATTCTGCCTGGCATCTCCTTAGTTACATTGAGTAAAGCTAAGTTACTGAGGTATGGAATGCAATTATGCTATGAAGCCTGAACACACTACAACCAGCTGAATTTTCTCTAGTTACTGACAATAATTACTATAATATTCAAAACTTACATCTTCAATGACAAAAGTCCACTCCTTGTCCTCAAACTCACTATCTGGTTTGGGGTCCTTGATTTAAGAAAAAAGTGGCATGAATACAAGGTTTACAATGTAGTTTTGAGATACATTGGGTTTTTGTATGTTGTCCAATCAATTGTGCATTAAAACAGAAATTCAATTTTTAGCTGTTTCAGAATGACTAGCAAACTACATGTATGTATGGTACATGTAATTACACATGTGAGCCCCTCTACTATCAGCAAAAATAATATACAAAATACTTCCTTGGAAAATATGCCCCACACCCATAAAGAGGGTTCCTACATCAGCACTGATTCTTCAGCCCCCCTGCACTGGAAATAAGCTCTGTTTTCCATGTAACATATTACATGCATCACAGTACTTTTATGTAACTAATACAGGATAAGTATCAGACCTGGCCCAGCCTAGCCCAAGAGTATACAGTAATACATATTACAAAAACCTCGACTGAACTATCTGATTTTTTATTAGCAGAATAGCATGTACATATCTTTAGCTAAAAACTACCTAACATGTACCTTGTAAAGAGTAACGTTGATTTCAACAGGTTCTGGCTCTGGCCAAACAATGATCCCTCGGAAAGGGTTGCTGATTCCTGGTTGCCATGACATTGGCTGCACAGTTTAAATAATCAAGTAAAGTCAACGGCTTATTATTCAGTTTCATCTTAGATTAATCATTGTCCAACCATAAGAATGGCATCTTAATCAAATTTGTAACAAATTCTTGAATGTGATCAGTTAACAACAATGGGACAAGAATTGTCATGACGATCATTGTGACCCCTTGATAGAGGCGATTGCTGAATACAGGTGAAATAGAAAATACTTAGGGAGAACAAATTTCAAGACTATGACAACTGACCACTTAATACAGGGTGACTGCTTAACCCTAAATAACTCCCTGAAGTGATTAACATGTAACTTCTCCCTATAATATCCATATCGTATTCAGTAAACAGGTGATGAGAACACTTAAACTTATCAGGTGGAAGTTATCTTGATCTCACACCAAATTCTCTTAACTTATTAACATGATCTCACACTTGGTGTGATCTCACACCAAATTCTCTTAACTTATTAACATGAAATTTCTAGCTAAAAGGGAGAATCAAAAATCAGATCTCAGGATTTAAAGGGTTAATACAGTGCCCCTTAATACAGGTTTGACTGCATTTGCTTTCAATAGTATCCATCACAAAGACACTAGACTGTATACAGTTCAATTGTTAGTGAAAGTCCCAATTACAGAGCAAATGCAACATTATTTTAAAAAATTAAAGTATTCAAAGAAAAATTCACCTTGGAAAGTTTTCTTCTTTTTCTTCTTGTCCACACAACAAGAAGTTTGTTTGGCTGCCTATAATAATTTTTAAAGAGGTTAGATTGAGAAGACTCATGCTTTATAACATTAAACTAAGATAATTTTAATTTTTAATTACATGTGGCAATAATAATAATCATGATGATTTTCTTAAAAAATTGAAAACTTGCAATCAATATGTTAAGGTTTAATTTTATCATTGATGTGCAAATTCCTGTTCCTTTGTTTCTGGTTATAGTGATGTACAGTTTGTCTCAAGAACAGGAAGAGCACCATCTAAATTAAAACCATGGATGATTCATGTATTTCTCTAAGTGGCTTACAAAATTCCTCAGAGTCCAAAAGGTTAAATATCAGCGGCTTCAAAATCAAAATAAATAAGCAGAATCTTGTATATATGAACATTAACCTTCCACCTTGAAGATCAAACTATTTATAACTATTTTTTGGTCAGGATTTCCAAAGTTCATAATAATTAACATTAAATAACAAAATCCATTTTCAGATATTCATTAGTGTCTACAATTTGCACTCCATTGACAAATGAGTGAATGGTATTGACTCAACACTTGAATAATTGCTTTCTCAGATATAAACATAGTTTAGGTCAAACAATACAAAATGATCATAATTTTTTTGTTCAGGTGAAAATTAACGAAAATGAATTCTTTGTTATTTCATCGAAAGCACATAATTTTTTCTAGCTCTTAATTTGCTTTTATTTTCTTATGTTTAAGTGAATTCAACTTGGAGACCCATGCATGTCTGAGGTTTCTCGCGTTGCAAATCACGTAGGAGCACTACATGCATGCGACCACGAAAGAAAAAAATATTGTTACAAATATCAAATTCGACGATTAAAAGCCAAGAAAAAGAATGATTTTCTAGGAAACAAAGATAACGACAAGAGAGACTGAAAATCACGTGAAAGCTCGTTTCATTTTCTTTTCAAAAACGGAAGGAATTGTGATATATATACACCGTTGGGTGCTTCGATTTTTTTTCTATCCTGATGAACGTTTCAGTAAAACTGTTGATACCATGGTGAACGTGAAAACATGGCAATTTTAACATGTAGTGATGAGGTATTTTCTGGAATTAACATGGATAGTCACGTTGGGGCGTATACTGAAATGTGGACATAAACATACGTACGATGGACCGGCTAAAGGTTTTGAATCTGGTTCTTACCATTTTCCACCTCGAACACATTCAACAGTTAAAGACTGATATGAAGCTGTGAACTGGAACTTTGACGCCTTTTTCCCTACACGTTGCAAACGCTTCCAAACCGAACTCATCTTCCATGTACTCGGCAGATGTGCTTCGCTATCACCCACAATAAGCGCTTTCTACCTTCACCCACCATTGTTGATAACTAATGCAGCTTTGCTACCGCTTATTTTTAATTTTGAGTCGAATTATGTTCGTTTTCGTCGATGAAGGCTCGGTATTCACGAGAAGTTTCCGATCTAGAGTACCCAGAGTGCTTTTAGCTCATCGGGGTATTTTCGAATCACGGGATCCGCCATATTTCTCATCTTCATCTTCCGGATTTTGCTTTTGTATTTTCATTAATTGGCGAGGTAAGGATTCTTAAAGGGAGCAGTAGTTTGAACGGTTTGTGTATCCTCTGTTCTTTATTGAGCCCCAGTGACCTTCTTGTGGTGTAACGCAGAGCTGTTCTTTTCTCAAGGGGGTGGGTAACATCAAGCTTCTCCTTGCTCTTTATTGACCGCACATTTTCACGTGCTAGCTTTGACGAAATCCTCTGGTGTGTCTTCAGTTATTATTTCAGCAACAAATTGAATTCTTATTGCGATAAATCTGCTAATTATATCCTATATTACATGTAGAAACTAGAGCCGTACATGAATCGTAGGTTGAAGAAAATTCTCGTAATATTTCCTTTTGAAGGTGCACTTCATCATATTTCCGTCTTTGGGGGTCATTCATAAAGAGTGCACTCTTTCCACGAATGAAGCCTTTTGAAAATTCTTCTTTTGCATTTTAGCTTCCCGATCATGGCAGCAACGGGACCTTACAACTACTCCTACATATTCAAGTACATAATTATCGGTAAGCCTAGCCTTCCAACTTTAGAAGGAACCAATTTTCTTGTGTCTTTTTAACTGGTCGTTTATTTTGTAGTTAGTTTTCCACTCTGTAGTTGCTGATTTATTGTTCGGAAAATTAGTTTAAGAATTCTATAGGTGACTTCACTTTCGTGATGAAGATTAATTTTAAGGAGGAATGTTTCGACATGCATAAGTGGCCATATACACTTTGATCATTTGAAAGGTTGTTCATTTTATAGTTCAGTTAGTCTTTATCTGCCTTGTCAGCACTAATAACCTTTTCTTGATATACGAAATTTCAAAATTTAGCCACTTTTATAGCCAGTCCCTTCCCTCTTCTGCCTTTTTTTTTATCTACAGTATCTTTTATCTTACTATATTAATATTTAGTGAAAAATTTTCCCCAAAGTTCATGCTACAATGTGGTCTAGGTGTAGGTTGACAGTACTCCTAAACTTGATTCTCAAAATGCTATTCCTGATACTTGATCCTCAAGAGAAAATCTTCTACAACCTAGAATTTTTAAGCAAATTAATATTTTCACAAATAATACTGTTGTGAATCTCAAATTTTAGGCTTATATAGTAGTTAAGTTATTTGCAATTCTGTATTTTGAGATAAAAGTTTCTGTTCAGTAGGATCCATAACACCTGTTATATATGAAAAGTTTGTATTAAACAAAAAGTAGTAAAATGAGATACAGGTGCATGTTGAGGGCTTATACTGAAATATAGTGGTTTTTTTTGTAGGAGATATGGGTGTAGGCAAATCCTGTCTACTTCATCAATTTACAGAAAAGAAATGTAATTATACATTTTTAGTTTCATTTTGAAAGTCTCTAATAATTTTTTTTGGGCACACTCTGAAAGCAATGATATTCATTCATATTTCATCAACCATATAACTTTAGCAGTACATGTACAGTTTTTGACCCTTTAGCTCCCATGAGTGACCGAGACTGAATTTCTCCTTACTATTTCAAACCAACATCAAGCAGACAAGTGATGAGAATAAAGAAAAATATAAATTAGGGGATTATCAGTTAATCCAATACCAAATTCTCCAAAATAACAACAAAATAATTATTTGGCAGACAGTAAGGAGAATTGCTAATGAGATCTTGGGAGTTAAACTGATTATGGGTTGTAGTTTTAATGTTTATTCATTACTTGCTGAGCAGTTAGTCAAAATTTATTAACTTGTTAGAGGTAACAACAGACAATGTGAAGAATCAAATGTTAGATCATGGGAGTGAAAATGCTAAATACAGTTGTATCCCATTTTTGTGACATTTTAAATTGGAGACAGTTTCTCATGGGTTCTGATAACAATGTACATGTACCTAAGCTGAACCTTAAATTATGCAAGTGTGTAGATGTAAGTTAACACAAGTATTGTTTGCTTCTGATAGTTATGGCAGATTGCCCCCACACCATTGGTGTAGAGTTTGGAACAAGGATAATTGAAGTATCAGGCCAGAAGATCAAACTTCAAATTTGGGATACAGCTGGACAAGAGAGATTTAGGTGTGTTTTGCTTTTACCTTTAATACCCACGAGTGACCAAGACAGAATTTCTCTATACGATGCCAATGTATCGTCATGCAGACAGGCGATGAGATTGAGGAAAAATGTCAGTCAGGGTGTTCAAGGGGTTAAACTTCATCTTCTCCTCATCTTCTCCTCATCAAAATACACACACTTTTCTTTCTTTTTAAGATGTAGCACTGATCCATCTTAGAAATGGCTTTCTTTGAGCCAAATAATGTGTGCTTACCAGTAGCCATTACAACTTGTGTTATTTAAAAGGGCAATAATGAATTTTTCAGAGCTGTAACAAGAAGTTATTACCGAGGTGCAGCTGGTGCCCTCATGGTGTATGATATTACAAGGTAAGAATAGATTTCCTTGTGGAAAATGAGCATGTACATGTACACCTGTATATTTTTTTCTGTTGGAGTAATGTTTTGGTATGTCATATAATGTTTTCTGTAAATGTCAGACCATGATATGTGGTGAGTTGGTAAAGGCTGTTGTAGAGGGTTCCTGATGGTGACTGGGCAAGGAAGCATAGGTCTAGTAAACACTGACCAGAAAACAAAGATGGGAAATTTGATTCACACAAAACAGTCTTGGTTTGGTAATATTTGCAGTGACAACAACCAGTTACCTCTGGTACTTAAAAAAGATTTATCTTGGTAATTAAATAAATGTTTGTTGGTTTGTTCAACTTTCATAGGAGAAGTACTTACAATCATCTAAGTAGCTGGCTCACAGATGCAAGAAATTTAACAAACCCAAACACAGTAAGTTACTACAAGTAATAGCAGGGTTTCCAATAAGATGCACAGCAGTTTGTCACTCACACAGTGACATGAAAACTTGCTCTTTACTATTCAACCAGGTTACATGCACTCAACTGTTTTTGATCAGAGATTGGAAAGAGTGCTGGAATGAATTAAAAAGATAATAAAGGAACTGAAAGCTAAATAGGAAAACAGAAAATAGTATCATGTAGTAGCTCGATATAAATTTGTGATTTATAAGGGAACAGTCAACTTTCTAATTTTAGTTTATATAGGTTGTTGATGAAACCAGAAGTGAAAAATGTTCACAATGAAAACAGTAATTTCTAGTTGCTACGAATTGTATTAAATTTCTTTTTTGTAGTGCATGAAGTTGTTTCCTTTTTTTACAGTTTTTTGTTAATTACCTTTAGGTGATATTTCTTATTGGGAACAAGTCAGACTTAGATGCTCAGGTCAGTACAGATATTTGATATCAAATCAATCAGGGATTAGTCTATCTTTCTGTGTTTTGATACTGGCCATTTCTCCTTCTGTAAGAATTGACCTCAACAGACATGTACAGCTGTTCATGTGCATTTGTGTGCATAGTATTGGTGAAACTTGCGGTCAGTTTGTCATTGTTTCTTGAATGTTCTTATCACAATAGAGAGATGTGACTTATGAAGAAGCCAAACAATTTGCTGAGGAGAATGGTGAGCCATTTTAACCCTGTTATTACCACGTTTGCTTTCTTAATGCCTGCCATACAATTTATATGACTTGTGGTGTCAAATCAATTAGTGTTGGCTAGTTGATGTTTTTATTTTAACTAGACCTCTGCCTGATGATGTATAGATGTTATACAGAGAAATTACTCATTAGTCACTCCTAGGAGTGTAAAATGAATCAACAGGTACAATAAACACTGCCTGGAGTAGTTTTGCTCATGTAAAATTCATCTCAATTGTAACCATATTATTTTTCTCTATCCTTGTAGGACTTCTGTATTGTGAAGCAAGTGCAAAAACGTAAGGGCCATAGTTATAAGTATTATTTAAAAAGTACAAATGTGCACTACTGTCCCATGTTTATGCCACTCCTCCACAGTACTGACAACTTTGCATTCTTTGGTTATGAACAAGTTTTGGTTTTCATTCTTTAGGGGTGAAAATGTAGAGGATGCCTTCCTTGATACAGCAAAGAAAATTTACCAAAATATTCAGGATGGAAGGTATGTCTGAGGTTATTGTTACACCTGTTACAGTATTTCACTCTGTTACAGTGTTGATTATTATATGGACAGGAGAGTTTTGCCTGGAATTGAAACACTCATAGGTGCATATGGTACCTTTATATTATGTTCCCTTGTCTTTGAGCTGCACCGTGAGAACATTGACTCACTCAAACAAAATTCACATTGTATGGCTGCAGTGTAATTAAATTATCTAGGAGTACATGCTGATGTGAAGGAATGTGGGGGAAAGTCCCCTTAATCAACCTTTTTATTTTGGAAGGAAGCTTTCCTTCTGCACTAATGTTATTTGAGAAAAAGCCAGGACATGTAATCATTATAAAATTATTGTGTATTCCATTTGATAATGCTTGGTCTGCTTTTTACCAGGTTATTTGGTTACATGTACATGTACATCAACTGAGTTGATAATGTAAATTGGCCACTGTGGAGAGTCTCTACAGCTGATGTTTTGAGCATTAGCCCATTGTCAGAGCAAATGGAGAAGGACTAATGTTTGAAAGGACAGCTTTAAAAACTGTTTATGGTAACCAATTTACATCATCAACTCATTTGATAAAACCAAATTATCCTGTAATACCTCTCATTGTTGCAGCACCACAGTTTCTTTAGAAACTCACCCCCTCTATTCATCTGCTTTTACTAGTTTGGATCTTAATGCAGCAGAGTCAGGAGTGCAGCACAAACCACTGGCAGGCAGGCCAGCAAACTCACTGCACACAGATCAGCAGGCAAATCAGGATAAATGTGCCTGCTAACCTCCAAACCTCCTAAATATTTTAATCAGAGAACAAGGTGAATGAATTTCCTCCATTGGATACAGACGCAAACATGACTTATTTTCGATAAATGGTACACAACATTGGTTAAGTCTAACATGTACATGTAGATATCAGATGTGGTATAAATACTTATATTGTAGCAAAAGGGAAATGATGAGGAATGGTTGTCCTCATTGCAATATCATCTTATAATTTCCATTAGCAAAGAAGATGCTGTAACACACTACTTTTGATGAAAGATATTCATGTTTTGTGTAAGAAAATCTACAATGGTTCAGTACTAGTTATGGCACAAGGGTGAAATTACAGCAGGGTGGAAAGATGATTTTTACTTAAATTCCCATTTAAAGAAACTGTTTGTCATACATGTACAGGTATTTAACTCTTTTACATTGACTCAGGATACCATGACAATAACAACACATGGTTCATGAAGCAAGTGTTGAAAATTTAAAATTAATCAACATGGGGTAAACAATATCCTAATTCTAATTCTAAGAAATAATATCCAAAGTAATGTATGGCAGATAGTAAAGACAGATTTTGAAAGTGAAAGAGTTAAATTAGTAAAGCCAACATATTTTTGCCTGTTGTTAAAAAATTGGGTTCCATAATACAAAAAAGTTGTTCAGAAGTGCTGTAGACAACCAAACCAAACACAGCTAGCTGTTTCATTCTTCTTTTTAAAATTAATAGTTCTCTGTGTGTGTTTCTTTTCCTCTTGTTTCCCATAAGTTTATTTTGCTCCTAGTACACTGCCAATTCTGAATATTCAAACTGCGAATTGCTAAACCTATTGGTGTTCATCACAATGGAATTGTCACAAAGTGTCCCCTGCATGCATGACAACCATCAAGGAAATCGTATCAGCAGGACTAGTGTTGTAATGCTTTTCATGCTTTTGTACACAATGGGCTGCATTTGTCCCTCAAGTTGATAGAATAATGTTTAACTTGTAAAATCTTGATAGCACAATACAAAGAAAATCAGCACTTAGACATTTTCTCATACCTCTTGAAGGAAAGCTCAGGGCTACAAGGGAAAGTTGTTACATTTAGTTGCTGTCTCGTGCACTCTTGTTGCAGTTGTTTATGAGGGGAAAATTAAGTTGTGATATATGCATAGGTATGAAATTTTAATCCATCATTGAAGAACAATGCTATATTGTAATGCCTTTCTGACTAGAAAATGACCTCGCTAAATGTCTGTTGTAGGCAATTGTTTTCAAAGTTTACTTGCAGATGTTTCTTGGTGTGCTTGTAACTCCTTGAATGCGTTGCTCAATCCAGCTCTCCTCTTTCTTTTGATAAAATAAAGCTGTACAGAGTAGGATATGTGAATGTCACTTGTCATTATACTTGTAACTTTACCACAAAGACCAGATGCTATTGTAAGAAGTCTAAGCCTTTGCTGGTAAATGGGGATGGGTGTGAACAGGATGGGTGTCATGCAGTTTTCTTGCTTGGAACGTAGGTTTACATGTGGGCAATTCCACTAAGCAATATTCCTTTATTTACCACTTAACTGTCTACTTTTCGCAAGAGAGCCGTTTTAACCCATTCTTTTGTTTAAGGCAGCAGAGAGTTTATACAACTGTAGTTTGCATGATAAAAAAAGGTTTGAAAAATGTCTTTTTGTTTTTTTTTTTTTTCACATTGCAACCAAACATGGTTATTACACTTTCAACAAAGAATGATTCAAATAAGACAAATCCAAACTTTCAACTCTCTAAACGTGGATTCTCTGATGGGATCAACCTCTTCATTACGGGTTGGTTCTTTTTTGGTGAACTTGAAGCGAACAGTTTATTTTTGTGAACTCTCATTGAAACGCAACAAGAGGATAGGAAATAAGCGGGTCAAATTATATTAAAAGCTCAGTGACCCAGTGGAGTGCAACTTTATCGACACTCTGATTCCCATGAAGGACCGCGGCAGAATTTCTCCTTAAAAAATCATTGCAATAACAATTCGGGAATTGTCATTTCATCCAATACCAAATTCTCCAAATGTACATCATAAGAATCGTAGAGTAGACAGTAAGGAGAATTACTAAAGAGATCTTGGGGGTTACAGAGTTCACTCAACAAGACAATATGCAATTTTAAATTCATAATTTTTACATATTCTTTCTGAATTTTAAAAATTCTATGTACAACTCAATCTGAGTCTTCAGACGTAACTTAATAACATAAGTACCAGTTTAATTTTTAATAAATAAAAAACGAAAATTTACCTTGTATTCAAAAATATTTTTGGGTCTTGATACGGATATGTCCCGTTTCTCGGATTAACATATGTATTTGATTCTCTTAAGGTGGATTTTCAAAATAATGCAGCCTCTTGCTAAAGGATTTTAAATGTGAAAAGGAAGTGAGGCATCATGTAACAATATTTTTCTACTCATTGACATCATATGACCTACAGAAGAAGCGCGAATTTGCAGCTCAGGTTGTTTGTTTGTTGGGTTTTTCTTGTGAGCGTTTCGTTAGTGAGCAGTGACAACTGGAGATCACACGTTAGCTGAACGTGCATTGGCCCACCGCGCGCGCGACTTGCGACCCACGTTGACTTAAAAAGTGCAAAAATTTGTGTAAGCTGAACACTACAATTACATTTAAGCAAGCGATTAACCCTTTCTCTCTCTCTCGCCTCCGCAAAGATCCTCTTTAATAGAGTTAAAGAAGGAGCAATGAGAACAAATCTTTTTTGGTGGAGGAAAGGGTCCCTTGGGCCATGCCCTGTCACTGTAACACACTACTCTGCTTCAGTTAGCTCGTCAAGTACCTGGTACGGGATTACATTGCCGGTTTCCTTGGCGTTTCTTCAAAGTTTTTCAGAGCAATTGTTTCACTTTTTTCAACCATTTTAGCATACGATGCGAAGGGGACATTTTTGTTAGTTGTCACTTCACACCAATCCCCTCTGCACACCCAGGAAGGGTACTGTTTCTGTGTTAGTTTCATTACTTAATAGATTTCAGGCCAGAAGGGAAGGGCTGATGGCGGGCAGACTTATTGGTAACTTGCTCACTTCATGTATTTTATGTTTGTCGATTAAGGACATGCTTCCAGAAGTGCTGGGTGCCCTTCGTGTCTCCCAACTCTGATTTAAGAACCTCTTCCGTAAACAATGCTGTGGCACAGAGTAGGTTAAAAATATTAATGACGACCCGTTCTGATTGTTTCAGTGGCAAGGCACAATTTGGTGAAATAAAATAGATCTTTTATCTGACTTGACTTGCATTGTAGAGGGGTAATTCAGTTGCAAAGGACACTAGCGCATGAGAAAGCATTCCCGTGGTAAAGAAAAAGAAGAGCTACCCATCCCATTTTCCTCACGTAGAGTGGACAAGTCCCACGTCTCCACTAACCCTTTTCACCCTAAGGGTACCTTGCATCTGATTTCTCCGTACAAAATCAGCCCTGAATCAAACGTAAAGATCACAACAATAAAATAAATGGTGATCAACCATAGAAGCCCTTGATTGTTAAACAAATTCTCCTTGTCATCACCTTAGAAAACGACAAAAAAAAAAGATTGGAGAATATGCATACTGATGTTAGGGTGTAAAGGATTAATTTTCTCCTTCAGAACCCTCCCTTTGGTATTGCGGCCTGAAAAAAATTTGCAGGAAGCGAAAATTAGACATGTTCGTAGATTTAATTTCACAGAAATCGTACTGCAGCGTTCGTCATTTGTCGCCAAGCTCCAAATCATCTGTTCCACCATAGCGAGGCTTTTTCGAGGCAGAGTTAGCTTGCGGTGTTCTTTTACCTCTTGCCCACTTGCATGCGAGACAGGGAGCCATCATAAATACTTCAAATATAAATGTTACAACATTGGTGTAAACTCCACCTTGAGGACAACATAAACGAACTGTGGAAAGAAAAGAATATTTAGTGAAAACAAGAGAAATGAAGATCACTTAGTGGAATTCAATAAGGTTGTGTGTTGGGGAGGGGGAGGGAAGTGATATATAATGAATCGAATGCAGCAGGTCTCAAAAATACCTGTCGCACGCGTTGGCATATCTTTTAACTAAACCAGGGTCGGATCCAAGAATCAAGGGGTAACCCCCTTTTGACAAGGGGGTCTAAGCTTTGATTCAGAAAATACAGATTTTTTTTTTACATTAAAGCCGAAATAGACATTACTGATTACGATATGTATCAAGATGAGGAAAATTTTAATACTTCAAGTTGAGTTGCACTGTGCGATCCTGTTGTTGGAAGAATTTTTGGTTTCAGAAAAGTCGTAAGAACACCCACATATCTGAAGGGGGAGAGTGGGGGCGAACCCGGGCCCCGGGCCCCGGATCCTCTGAAAACCCTCCCTCTGAAAACACTTTTTGTTTGGTCTTTCCACTGAAGTTATCGTTTTGATTCGAGCCCTGCCCAATTAAGAGATAGCGTAGACATCGTCGGGAGGCTGTCACCACAGGTTTCGCCCATTTTAACCCTTTGACCCCTAACTGTGACTTACATCTAATTTCTCCTCACAGAATTACTACTGAATCACACATTAAGGTCATGAGAATAAAGGACATGATCACCAATTGAAGAGGTCCTTAATCTGTAACAAAAATTATCTTAGCAGTGTTATGGGAAATGAATAGAGAACAGTTTGGAGAATATGCATACTGATGTTAGGGTCAATAAGGACATCAATCCAACGTGGGAGCTCCTGATAGACGTCATGTCTCGACGACCACATCACTAAGAATACCGTTCATCCTCAGCCAAATTGTTCAATATCTATAAGTAAGTTTGTAAAAGAGTTGCAACAGTACTTACACGGCATGAGTAAAACAACAAGAACGAATCCAATAACTGATAAAACAGCAAATATTGGCATGAGTAGGGTGGTAAAAAGCCATCTCTGACATGCGCATGGCGAGTTCATATCGTCATCATCTTTGCTATCTTCTGTGTAATTATTTGTGGCTGTTTTTTCTTGCGATTGTCTCGGAGACGACTTACCATCTAACAGAGAATTAAACAAATATAAAACGCTTTTATGTGCATGCTCTTTCTTTAGAAACCAATCAGTATTTATCACCTCGTGGGTGGGGGTTGGGGTGATGGATGATGTTGAGGGATCACATGGCTTTCAGGGAAGACGGAGGGGGGATCAGTCGCCGCTAACAGAGTATAAAGAGGGGTTTTTCCAACTGCAAAAAGACCCCTTGAACTTGAATTGAGAAGTCACAGCAAGTTCTAAAAGAAAATCTTATTGTCTACCAAGATGTCGTCTACGAACAATATTCTTAAGACTTTCTTAAGGTCAATCGTCTTTAACGTAAAATTTGGGGAACTGATTCCAGGTTGTCGCTGGGGAAATGAACACGTTACTTTCCGTTTTCAAAGCGTGTTTGACATCATATTCATTAACAAAAGACTCTCGCATTCAGAGATAGCAATTTTTTTTACGCTGTCACGCTAAGTGGTGAAGATCGATCGAATAAGAGATCCGTCGCGTAGGCGCCAAGACTGATTCGCAAATCCAATTACCGCTTCATTTTACGAGAAGATGATGTTTGATTACACATTGATGGGGTTCGGCCGAGGCAAAAAAGTATCACGACGACGAGTAAGTTTGATTCTCAGGAATTCATCGAGTAATAGCAGCGTAATCAGAGCCACGAAAAACAAAAAAACCTACGACAAATTGACACAGCTACTTACAGTTTAAACAGTCCATCGTGTTCAATAGGATCAAAATCAGTATTAGCAGGCAGTTACGTATTTCAGTAAAAAGACGAAAACTATTGTAACTCAACCGGCCACGGTATTTTCATGTGAAATCTGATTGAGCTTTTAGGAGACAAAGAAGACACCAGGAGGAACAGATGTTACCCCTCTACATTTTTTTAGGCCTTCCCGGTCACCTTGGATTGGTTTTTCGGTACGAAATTTTACAAAGGTGGCATCCTTTCTTTGTTTTTTAAAGGAATTAGCTGAAGATAACTTCTCGTTGCTTTTTGTCACCATCAGAGTCATCTGAAGATACCTGTACACATGTATACACAAGGAAAAAAGTACTTTGATCAACGAAAATTTATTCCTAGGTCGAAGGCAATTCGTGAATATGTTAAAACCACGTGTTACTGTCAACACTTTTTTTCACCTCTTCCCTCGCAAGAAAAGCACACGTAGCCTTTGATTTGGAAGGGCTAAACGACGCAGATGTTCGCAAAAACTGCCAACAAGATGAAAGATCAAGCGTTGCTATGCGCAAAAACAACATGACAAAAATAAAGGGAAGCAGTTATAACGTGGAATTCTCTATACAGCTGAGCCTAGCAGCCAGTTTTTTAATGTACACGTGGTAATCGTTTATAAAATCATGTAAATTAAGGATGCGCAAAACATTGTATGGAAAAAGGCTACGTTTCGCTTTACGTGTTTGTTCTTCCGTCCCCTCCCCCCTCGAGAGGCAGAGTGCCCATTATTGAAACTTCAATAAGGTGGGAAAACTAGTTGGCACGCCTCCCTTCACTAGGTGGTCAACAACCCTCCATGCAACATAACAAACAAAAATCATGTAATCCATCTCTATCAAGTCAGTTGAAAGTCCCCCTCTTCCTCCTTCCCCACAAACAATGTTATCTGAAATCAGTGAGCATTTGTTGACACCAGGCTTCGTTGAAATTTGGGAAAAGGGAAGATTAAAAAAAAAAGTACTAGCTAGAGCGTGCCAAGACTTTTTCCACTCCCTGTTGTTCTCGCGATTTCGTATGCTCATCGTTGTGCATGCGACTCAAGTAAGTCAACCAATGAAAGTTTATGTGCGCGTTGATGCCGTTTCTTTTTTGGATGTTTTTTTTATGGAAGACACAAAAACGGGGTATAACCTGGATTTAGATGTGGCCTTGGAATGAGGTAAAAGCATCCAGTTTCCGCCGTCGATCACATTTGCCAAAATCGGCGTTAAATTGTTTCGCACAAAGATTGCTTAACAAACCATGTTCTCACAACTGTACGCTATGCAAATCTCTTTCTTCGTCTTTTGATCCATTTTGTCTCTTATCACTTTCAAAAGAATTGCTTAATTTATTTTGGTTAAATTTTAATTTCACCGGATAACCACGAAATGAATGAGGTATTTACCAACATTATGTCATCGCCTTTCTAATTTACTACTTCAGAAATAATCCGTAACAACAACGATCCGTCGATGTCTAAAACCAACCGTGACAAAACGCCTTCGTAAATTTTTTCTACCCGTCCAAGAGAGTTGCGTCGACCCTTCAAATAATCAAGACCAGGATATCCTCGACTTTTCCATTTGCTCTTCAAAATAATTCCCATTTCTCAACCTCTTGCTCAAACCAACCTTATGCGCTAAAATATTTATAAACAGTGATAGCGATATTCAGTTAATGAAGTTAAATCAGTCCTTAAGTTGATTTCTGTTTTCTTTTTTGCGGATTTAAGTTCCCTGGCTATTTTCATCTTTTCCTGAAAATTTCTTACGAAATGCTAATTTTCGTTTAACGCCCTAAGGGTAAACAAAATCGCGTTTTTTCGCACTTGTCTGACCACTCGTGTGCATTGTGGGAACATTTGCAAGTGTAAAGTCTCTTTGGCTTACACTTGATTACATTATTTTAAAAGTCGTTTAAAAGCAAAGAAACACGTGTTCTTCAGACAACGTATTGAATATTGTATTTTCAAAAACCAACAAATAACGGTGTTCTGGATTCTCTGCCGCACCGAGAGAAAAACTCTGTATCGATTTGGAAGATCAACTCAGGTAGGAAAAGAAAAAGGAGATCAAATTAATATGGAACAAATTGTTTATATTAAAAACAAAAATTACCATACTCGGTGAAAGAAGCGTCTTCATGCGGGAAGATTCAACAAATTAACTGCGATGGAGAAATTACTTGACTAGATATCACAGGGCCAAGTTAGATGAAATCAACCATCTATCAATAAATTATTAATAAATATTTAGTAAAACATCAAAAAAGTATCCTTAACCTTTTGTCTTCTGTGCTGACTTTGGTGTCGTCTGAGATAAAATTTTACCCTGTTCGGAAACCAGTAGAGCTTTCTTCTCCGGTCCGCTGTCGCTTTTTTCAGTACCAGACTCAACGTAGCTTCGTGTTTTTCCATATATCCTTTGAGTAGAATGCCCCGTGGACTGTGGCCTACGGGATAATTGGTTGTCCTCGTATTGACCAGTTTTCTCTTCTTCTGCTAGTTCCCCTATCTCCAGCATCGATTTATAAACCGGCATTTCAAGATTAATCTTTGCTTTTGGGGTCGGCGGTTGAACCAGTTCATACTCTTGGCGGAGTTTCTCGACCGCACTCTCGAGAAGTCTTCGTTGACCAACTGGTAAATTTAACTGTGAATAGTCATCTTTCTTCAAAGCCAGAACCGCGGGCAAGCAATCAATTTGATGCGTTTTTACCAAAATGTCAATTGTGCTTTGGTTGATAAATGAATCTTTTGCCCAAGCTTCAAACAATTCGGCACTCCCAAAAGTATCATGCCTTCGCAGTGGCGGCGGTTTACCACTCAAGGACTCGGGCGAGGACGAATCTTCTTTCGCTTTAGCAAAGAAAAACATGCCGGTGTGGTTCAATTTTCGTCAGAGTAAACGAAAATCGAACGAGTCACTACAAAACCATTTGGGCGTCAAAGACAATAGTTGATGGACTCTTTAACGAACAGATGGGAATGCCCATTAAATACGGCGAGCCACGTCAATGCATAATTTTCAATCAAGTTTTCATGTCCTTTTCCGGCCACATGTCGTTAAAAAATATTCGATAACAACATTTGTTGAAGGAAAGGCGGAGATAATTTGACGATTAACCGACATGCAAAAAGACTACTTACACTGGATAAAAAGTGTAAGGGAAAAACTTCCTATTTGTTCTTGTTAATAATGACAATGACCCTTTTTCCCATAGCTCAGAATCAATTAGAATTGCGATAAAAAAAAGGAAAGAGTGAACCACAAAAGATATATTTTTATCGAATTTCGCTGTACTATTTTTCCGTTTAAAAGCCTTGTATGTTATTGGGCAAAACCTACGTAAATATCAATTTGTTTCGTACATAGGAAGATATTCTAATTGGGTTTAGTTTGCGAGGGCTGACTAACACGTATATTCTCTTACGTTTACTTTGAATAGTAAACCGGAATCGATGAATTTCCTCTCCGTAAAAATAATAATAATCACAATAAAACATGTCCAAGCAAAAATGTTTGGAGTAATTTTAAACAACTTTCCTTACCCTTAAATATTTTCCTTTTAATGGTGGCGAAAATCGAAAGCAAATGAAAGAGGTAAATTCTTTATGGCATTTAGCCTTTGAGTCATCCACTTCCTCGTATAAATGACAGAATTTAAAATTGAAGCCTCGTAATACGCGGCCTATTTTCGTTTGGTTTCATCAGTGGGCTTTTCACCCGTTTTTCTAAATTTTGAAACACAAACTGAGTTCCCAAGACAAAATAGTGGGCCCTGATTAGAATAGATACGAGGTAATTTTCTTACAATGAAACATAAAACAATGAAATTTTTAAGTAATCAGTTGATCAGGTTGTCAAAAGCATCCTATTGAAATCGAAATTTTCGTTCAGTGTCCAAAATTTTCCTTATTCAGTGTTTCGAAAGAAAAACATTTTCCGGAGAAAAGAAAATTCACAAATGTGTTCATGCATAACGTAAAGTTGGTAAATAGCATATCGTAAACTGTTTGGTTTTAATTTGACCACACTGTACTAGAAGGAATCTATCGTTTCGTTTATTCCAGCATTATTCAATATTATAACTATGAATGACTCCGAACAGGCGTGTACATTTCGGCTGTGTAAGGCGAGAAGATGTCAAAACTGAACCAAACTTTCGCTGTACATTCAGTAAATGGCCATGCTATCGACAACTGAAATATAAATGGAGCCCATATTCGAAGAACTTAAAAAAATTACCTTCCGTTCGCGTAAAATAGTCTTTCCTGAGGATCTACATTAGAAGTTACCTTTTCTTCCAAAGCAAGGTTATTTTGATATAGCGGAATCGCTCGAAAGATGGCGAAATTTCGTATTGGCAACGATTTACCCTTCTCCACGATGTCAAGGAAACTCTAACTCTTCGGAAACCCTCACAGCTGAGAAATTGTCAACTTAAATAACCAAATGTTTAAAATACATTAATTTGTTGTAAGATTATAACGTTATACTACTTAGAGTCGTGGAATACTCGAATAAATCCCTCTTTGGGAAACGATAAGTCAGTTTGCGAATAAATGCTGTTAAAACTCGGCCAAAACTGATCGACAACAGTTTGCCTCTTTGTTTCTCCTATCATGGGGGCGAGAAACTGAAACAAAAGATAAACTCCTAAAAGACTATTTTACATATAAAAAGAAGTTAAGACCAAGGTAACAATTCCTTTAGCAGCAAGGGACGCTTTCCAGACATCATCAGAGACATTAAATTGGACCCAAATTAACATCAACATAAAAAACGATGTTTATTGAAATATTACCCTGATATTTCAACATTACAGAGTCAAACTTGTACGAAATGGACATCCAGGATAAAAAGGAAATTAATCGCTATTTGTCCACTCCTTCTTAAAAGCAAACAGACGGAAAATTAAAATAACTATTCTTATGTATGAATTCGACAAAGGAAAATCCACCTGTTGATTCGTATGCTAATGACTGACCATTTCTTCACGTATTTACATATCCTCCTACTTCTTGTAAATAAACTCTAAAGCTTTTACTTCCATAATCACGTAAAGTGCTGTTCTTACAGCTTAAAACTTGTACTTAACCTAAAAAGTAATTTTCTGTTTCCGCTAAATTAAACTGAATTCTCAAGACTGTCGACGACTTACGAATTAAAAAGTATTCAAAAACATCATTGTGAATGGATTTCCTTCCTTACGATCAAGACAAGGATTTAAACGCCAGTGGATTGAAAGATGGGTTCACACCCCAGAGAGAAGTTTATTCGTTAAGGTGTAGGGTACAAGCCTCTCTTTTCATAGTCCACTACGATTATTACCGAGTTCGCAAAGCCAGGTTCATCAGTCGGTCAGACAGAAGTGACGTATTACATAGGAGACGCTAATCTACTGTTAAAAAGGTTGCACTGTTTGGTACTTGAGTACTTGAAAGCTGGTGAACTAAAGGTGTCTCAACTCTTCGAAACAGTTAAAACCGGCGTTTTTAATAGAATCCTTTCAGGATTGTTTTTAACGTTTTGTTCATCGAACCCACGTGCAACGACATTGAAGTATTGCCTATATTATTCGATGAAAAAAAAATTACATCGACTGATTAACAGCTCGCGATTTTTTTTTCTTTACAAACTCAATATAAGGAATTAATTTCACTATTTTTACCCTTTTTCCCGGTGGTTTCTTAACCGGATTTTAAGTCCGTCTTTATTCTTGAAATAATGTTCTAATAAAAGTAAATATGAACGCAGATCACAGCGAACTTTTTATAAAGTAAACCGAATACGTTGCGATGAAACTCAAATTCTAAAAACAAAGATTGAAAGTTCGCACTTTAGGAAGACGCAATAAACTCAGTCCATTTTTCTCTGATTCATTCTTTCTTTCACGAGTTTTTGAGATAAAAATTGACTCTGACGAAAATCCACATCTCCCTGCATGAGCTGACCTTGCTCCGAGCCTGTTCCATATTATAAAATACCCCTGACCAGGAATATCGAAGGCTTGCAAACTGGTCTACAGGTGGAGTGGATGGAACTCGTTTTCTGGTAGCTTCGTTCCCAAGGATTCTCTTTCTCCGTCTTTTGGAGAAAACCGAAAAAAACCCTCTTTCGTTCGTTTGGGAATGGGAAGAGGGGATTGCGTCCTTGTGGATTCTAAACTGCGTCTCTTAATCTAAAATAATCACTTTAACTTAGATTAAAAAAAGACGCTCAACCACGAAATCAGCGATTTAATACAATACATAAAATTTCTACCTAAGGAGTGAAAAACGCGATCAGTTTAACGATGCTAATCGATGTTGTCAGCTTGTACCTGCATCCAGCGCGCCCGCCTCCACCTCTCCTTCGGATTGAGCTACGTCTGAGGTCTCCAAGACGGTTCTGTAGAAAGCAGAGCGATAAAAGCGAATTGTTTGCAACAGCAATCAGTGCCTACAGCAGGAAAGTATTATTGGTACACAGAGCATTCTCTAAAACTGAAGAAGCGATGAGTCCAGTTTTGAGTACCTTGAAACGCTTAGAAATTCGATTTAATTTTAGAAGCGTGCATGGTACAGTTTATGAGAACAACAGAAATATGGTACTTACAGAGTGTGATCCTCTCCAGATGGTAGTTCAAGAGCAGTCACGTGGACCACGCATTTAGGATCCAAGGGAGGTGGGCATTCCTGATGTGAATATGGGAACGAAGAAAATCAATAATGTCAGTCATCTGTTGGTAAAATGTCATGGATACATTTGAGTGACACCTGAGTGTAATGCTCTAATCTACGGAGCTTCGCACGAGCGGAGATACCATATTTAAGAAAATATGGAAGCTCTTCTCGACGACCAAAATTTTGATAGCGCGTAAAGACCAATGTCCATGCATAACTCAAATAAATTTTGAAATTTGAAACATTAAACGTAGAGGACTTAGGCTGAAGTAATCTGGATTTATTGCGTGGTACAGGCGAAGCGAAATAAGACCTCCAATCTTTTTACATTTTAAGAATGTGCTGACTTCGAATAAAGCTTCCGGTATCTCAAATCTCAAAAAGGGCGATGTCCTCTAAATTTTATTTTACATGTTAATACAGTTTTTACAGTTTTTAATACAGCACGAAAGATTTTGAGAGTCACCCGAACACGGCTGAACTTCAGTGATCAGACGTGAAAAGACAACAACTGAAAATAAAATCCAGAGTTCTACATTTGGGCTCAGCTAAAGCTATATATTACATTTTCCCTTGCATGACAAAACTTCTGCGATCGTAAGAAAATAGTTTAAGCGGGAACGGAAAGGGAGGCTGCTGGTCCAGTCCACGGATGTGTTAATTCTGTTTAAGTTAACTATAGACATTCTCTCGAGCAGAATTCTGTTTTTCGAGACGTCCTTATTAGGATTGGTGATTCCAGTTGATTTTAAAGCGACATGATGACAGACAGTTTGAACATTTCTTCTGTCGATGGAAACGCCTTCAGAACAGAAGAAAAACAGTGAATCTTGAGCGAGAATTCTCAAAGAGAACGTCTGAAGAAACGTTTTCACTAAGTCTAAAACTGACTTATGGAACCGACATGTCCTTGCCGAAGCACTGATTGTCCCTCTCTGTCCCCTCGCGTTCTCTTTTACAAACAGATTGCTTAGATAGACATAGTATGGAGCTTAAACAAAATACATACTACACTCTACAAGTCTCTCATACCTCAGGCAATTTCTGGTGATATATCAAGTTATTTTCTCTATCACTCTTTGCTTTGTTTTCATTTAACACCTTTTTTACCCTAGAAGCAAAGACAAATTTGATTATCGGCCTTTCTGCACTGGCGGCAAAACTAAATTGTCCCGACCATTAAAAGGACGAATTTTTGTCACGACAAATCTTTGTTTTCTCTGTTGCAGCCGCATCAAAAATTTCAAAGTTGTCAAATTCAGTCAGCGCCTGGTCTACTCAGAAGACCGGCCTGCACAGTTTACCAAAGGATTTCAACTCCAATTTCCACGATTCATCTTTAGTCATTGTAAAGTTTTAGAATCCCCGAGTTTCCTAGTAAACTGATTTTAGTTCAATTACTCGCTGGTCGTAAATTTTCCTACAAATGATCGACAATTTTAGCATGGATTTGTTTATTAAACCGGGAGGAAATTTGTCGGCGGTACGTTTATAGATTTGTCCACTTCGGCCAAAATTTGTTAAGTCGCGAAAAACCATCTGCATTTGTAGAATGTTGGTGATGACCGAAAATTTGCCCTAATGAACAACTTTTTCACCAGTGCAGAAAGGCCCGAAGACATCAGTGTATAGCATGACATGATTTTTTTTTCGTTTATTAATTGCAAGGACATTGAAAAAATATGTATTCATTTTTGATAATAAAAGCACATGAAGATGTAACCCCATTCTTCATGTATGCAGAAACAAACAAAGAAGAAAAAAAATTATTTGATGTACTTTACTTTTCAAATTGTGCAGATTCAGCCAAGTGAAGTTTGGTCTTTGGTTTAATTTTATCATATTCCTACAAAGGAACAAGAAAAAAAAATCATAAATCAAATTTTAAAACGAGGAACTTATCCCATCACCATGGATATCGATAAATCAAAGGTAAAGGGTACAACCAAAATTATAAAGAACTTAACTGGTATATAGTCATTATTTTCAACTCCTGAAAAGTGTAAGGATTATGGCAGGCTTGTAACTTTCATTCATTCTTTGAATTCTTAAACTATTTATATTTTAGTTTGTTGTATTATGATAGTAACAGTTGTCAATGCGGTCAGTCTATGAGGAGTATCTGGTCTACACTGCTTCACCTTGATTATACAGCACGGAGCAACTATCCCTTCAAATGTTGCCCCGAATGGGATGCTTTTATACTGCTGTAAACTTAAATTATTCTGAGCCAGTTTCCAGGTGATAAAGGATTTGCTTCACATTAACCACTCCGGTATCGTTATTTTCTTTTCAGAATGTAAATGGAAGGCACTTAAACAAAGATGTATAATATGATTAAAAAAAAAAACAACAATCCATATGGGTAAGTGGTGTACTTACTTTAGAAAGATGAGTGGCTTGACTTAAGTGTTTGAATCCCTCACCTAACACCACAATAGAGTCGCCACACCTGAAAGTCAATTTAAAGGAGTCAAAACAGTGTAAAACAACCAAGACACAGCGTTAAGGACAGCAGTAACAATAAGGCCAAGAAAGATGGATAAAAAAGACCTTATATATTTGGCATGAGCCTTGAATGCTACAGACTTTGAGTAATCTACAAGGTTTCCAACCTAAGACCTTTGGATTTTGGTGTCATGATGCTCTGACACAGAACTGGACCTGTTATATGGCTTTGATAATTACACTGTATCTGTATGGTAGTGCATCCTGCAATCTGAATCTCTGAGTTTTGAAACCCATTGGGAAATTAAATTCTTCTCTGTACTGAATACATGACAAATAAATAACAATTCTCTCTTTTGGAGGAATTTTGCCACTTTGTTATACACTTTCCTAAGTGAGCTACAGTGCAGATGATTACATACAGTTTTTAAATAGAGATCACTTACTTTTCTTCAGTCTCCAACAGATGAACACCCTGGTAACATCTTGCCAATGCCATGTATGTCTCACCTGTTAGAATGATGACATAGTGATGGTGTTTGTCAATGTGTCAGTTTAAAAGAAGCATCAAAAGAATTGAGAAACAGCAGCATAAATATTGTTGTTAGAGCACTGCCTCACTCCTTACAAACAACACACTCATAAAAACGTACATTATAAGACAAAAAAAGGAATTCCCACAAATAAGGAGGGAAAACTGATGGCCTCTTTACCCAACTCTGATCCATCCTTGTAATACAATACTGAAGTTAAGTAATCATTCTACCAAACCAAATTATTATGAAAATTGATGCTTAGATAAAATTTAAATGCGGAAAATACATGGGAAATAGTCATGGTTCAGTACCTTGAAACCTTAAGTATGTCGACCATTTTTGTCCCTCATGATGTGAAGCCTAATGAAAAATGTAGTAAGAGTAGAAGCCATGAGCAAATGTTTTTATTTCTTACATCTAATTCTTTCAACATACAGTGCAGTAGTACTTCAATCTCTAAATAAGTATTGCAGAAATGAAGAGCAGATAATTGACTCATCCTAGCTAATCTTTGTCCTTGTTGCAGATGTCTTAAAAATAGTTGAACCATCTCAAACTTCATAACAGTGAGAAATCAGTGCAAGAATCGTAAGACTGCAGGGAAAACTTTAGAACCAAAATAAATGGTTTAGAATTGCTGGTTTGTAAAGCTAGGTTTCCTTTAAACACATAAATGTAGTTAGAATAAACTTGGTCCAAGTAGCATTACTCAATGCACAGTATACAGGTCAAACAAAGTTCAGAAGATCCTATTTATAAATATACTCTTGGGTGGACAGAATTAATGCTGTTTGCCACAAAGATAGCTGAGGATAACTCAGCCACAATATCAAGTCAGTGCTACTAGGGACCCAGGTTCAAAATCAAACCACTCAGTCAGGGTTTCAAGTTAAGGTAAAATCATAGTAAACTAATATGTAACCAAATAATCATTATTCAACAGGTTCCATTCTTTAGTTGGTCAGAACATCTAGGGACAGGAGATGAAAATCTAGCATTTTGATTTAACTGTGAACTCTACATGATGTTACCAGTTACCTTGAGTAAATATGTATGCCTCAGTAAATAGTCTTTGCTATTAACTGAATTACTGAGTGAAAGAAAATTGGGAACTCACATCAACTTCTCCAGCTGCAGCAGTATACTTCTGTGATACATCATGACAGAGTTCACTGATGAGGGAAGCCTTGTGGTCTTTACTGACAGCTCTTCTGATGGTGACAGTCTTTTTAAAAAATCAATAAGGAAAGTTTATAGTTTTTCTTCAAATAATGATTCAATAATTACATCATTATTGGATATGAAAAGGCTTAGAGAGATGTTACTTGATGACCACATAAACATACTTTCATCTGATGTACCACTAAATCAGATAATTTTCTACAAGGAACACAAACCACTGCCTCTGCTATAATTTTTACAGGATCAGTCTTAAAAAGTCAGCTTTTTAAAATCCAAGTATGTCATTATAACTACCAGTAAACCAGTGCGATCTCCTTGCAAACTATTAACCCTTCAACAGTCTCATGAGTGACCAATTGACAATTTCTCCTTGCAATATCAATACAGTATCAAGCAGACAAGTGATAAGAATGAAGAAAAATATCAGTCAGGGGATTACAAAATGATCCAATAACAAATTCTCCATACTAACTTCACAAGAACTGTATGGCAGACAATAAGGAGAATTACTAATGAGATCTTGGGAGTTAATGGGTTAATGCTAAAAGTTAGCCTCCTCTTATTTCATTGGGCCTAAATTCTCCTGTTGACTATAGGGTGTTTAATGTCATCATTCCACAAATGAATCTATCTTTACAACAAGTTTTTAACATAGCCTCGACCAAAATTTAAACACTCGTGAATAACTCTAATCATTTAAAAAATATTTTCCAACATGCAATGTGTTTTTTGGAGTACAGGGTAGCTTTACCTGTCCCTCAGCAAGTGACTGAAGATATAATGCACTCAGTATTGGAACTGTAGAGCAAAATCAAAAATTAATAGTTATACCAATGACTAAATTTATCCTGGTAATGTCAGTGTTGTACTTGGTGTTACAGAGTTCATAATGGCAAAAAAGTGGTTAAAAACTGACCAGTAAGATCTTTGCTTCCTTGGATCAGACTTGCCCAGGATTTTGCAGTCTCAAATATACTTGCTGCTGTCTTTAGGGAATTCAGGCTTTGCTGAGATGAAGTATAAGATGTAATATGAGTGCAACATTAGCCAATGTACATGAAAGTTTCACATGAGAAAATGCACAAGCTTTTTTCTTACTTTCATTTTCTCTTCATCTTCATCTTCATTTGTAATGCTCCCATTGACCTGCATAAGGTAAAGGATGGAAAAAATAAAGTTAGTTTACTTGAATACCAAATTTCAATCTCCTTGACATCAAGAAGTTTTCACAAAAGTATTACTTACAAGATGAGCATGCTCTATGTGCCATATTCCAGCTGCTAACATCATGGATGCCATATCTTCATCTACATTACTGGATACAGTTTTTTCATCATCATCCATAATGTTAGACCACTTAAATCTATATGGGCATGAATCATAAACAATTATTGGAAGATGTTCTTGTGATATCCAGGATAATAAAGGTCAAGATAGGGGTTATCAGCTGAAGCCAAAGGCTGCTGCTTTTGAAAATTTATTGTACATTTTCAGTCAATCAAAAAAGAGACATTGAGTTGAATGTATAATAGTTAAAATTATTTAGCACTTTGGGAAATGAATTGGCTTAATTAACACATTGACTATAACTCCTAAGAATTTGGTATAAGATAAAGAGAAACTTGTATCTGCTAATTGAGAATTCTACTAGCCTGTCTGCTGGATAACTTATGGAGATTATAGGGAGAAGTTACATGTTAGTCAGTTCTGGGAGTTAAAGGGTTGAGGGTGAGCTTACTTCATTTTTGGTCAGTTGTTTTGTAACCTAACCATAGCTTGCTCCAGTCATAGTCTCTGTGAGGGTATGAAAAGGGAAGTCACAGCACCACTTTCAAAGTTGGAGCATACAGAGCTGCTCTAACATTAGTGGAGAGTCCCTCTGAACTAATGATCAGTCCTTGTTTCCCAATTCCTAATCCTCAATTCTCAAAAACTTTGAGGATTGAGGCTAATGGATATTATAGAGAAAGAGAGAGACTATGAACACTCAAAAAGATTCCATTCCAGTGCAACTGTTCATATAATTATGTATATTCATTTGTTTTACTCTATCTCATTTTCATTCTAATTTAGTTCACACTTTCCTTTCTTTATTTAACATCACTGATCTTAAAATAATTTTATATTTGATAATGGTGACATTTGTTGCCGAAACATTATGTTTTAATCCAGCTACTTTTAATATGAAATTTTTTTCTTAATCTTCATTATCAGAGGATAGAGGTTTGCATCATATATTGTCATGTTTCCTTTTCAAGACCATTCAAAAAATTATTGTGGGCTTTCCAGAAATTTTCAAGATGAAAAAAAAAAAAAAAAAATTTCACTTAATTATTTCATCACACAACTGAAGCTTCTTCCATCCTGTATGTTTCATTGGGTAGAAAGTGTTTACATGCTTTCTACTAACCTGAGTCGAGAGAAACTTTTGACCTACAATGGAAAAAGGAAAATTCATGCACATCAGATTTTAGCTTCCAAATGATAATTTGGGAGGTGAAGCATCTTAAAATATGACTATGAAAAAGAATAGAAATAAATTAATAAAGAAAAGAATATATATATATATAATTTTTTAATGGCTTGGATGACACCATAATTGTGGGATCATTCAGGGTAACTTAGTGCTTACACCTCCTTCTTAGCGAGGCCCAGAAGGTTGAAACAGTACTGTCTACAGTTAGTTATGTATAATTTATATGTTATATATATATATATATATATATATATATATATATATATATATATATATATATATATATATATATATATATGTTTTCAAAAACGTTGCAATTTAAAAATATAATTGAAATATATATATATATATATATATGTTTTTTATATTCTTATAATAAAGAGACACTTTTTGATGAGAAAACAAAAGGTGTATGCATATCATAAATTTTTTCTTCCAATTGCAACGTTTTCGAGAACGGGTGTATATATGATCATTAAACAAATATGCTCACTTTCTGTAGTATGCTTTTTAATGTGGTGTTCATAACAACATATTCCCTCAGAGTGTTCACAACTGTTTCACTCGATCCATCAGCTTGTTTTAAAGCTTCTTCGATTCCTTGGCGTCTGTAAATGAGATGGAGGAATTACTGGAAAACAACTGCAAAATCTCTTACGGTTCGACTAAAGACGACAACACTAAAAAATTATGGCGACTTACTTTCTTGTGGAATCATGAACGAATGGTGCCAAATTGTCCGGTACTCCTTCGAGTGCTATTCCAAAATTAATACGATCTGTAAGCTTTTTTCCACACGCAGGATGTGCCATATTCTTGACATAGACACTTCCAAATAAAACAGATTTAAAAACCGCAAATAGTCATGTGTTGGACGTTCAAAACAAGGCAAAACAGTGTTGTTGTGATATTTGAAGTATGCGATGCGAGTTGGACTGAACGCTGGTCAAGACGACTGTAGTACCAGGTGCAGCGTCACGCTCAAGTTTGGACCCTTTTTACGGCATATGAACACCGACTAGGTTTACCCAATAGCCAATAACTTCGCGTTTTACTCAAAAAGCATATAACGTAGAGCCAGTGGAGCTAAATGGACGTCTAACTTAGAACTATGAAGCTCACACCGAAAGATAGCGTGACTGTTACTAGATAGCGTGACAGACGTTGTAACTGTTACTTTGTATCATGCTATAACTGGGTAGCATGTCGATCTGTCTCGCTTTCAGACGGGTCTCAGTTTCTTCATTAAGACAAGTAAGAAAAACTCACTTGTCCTTGATGGCCAGCATGTCGACTTCGATGAAGGCAGTTGTGATACATGAGTACGGTAATTCTAGTAAACTTAGCTACGAAGATGTGCCAATTCCAGAACCAGGACCTGATGAGGTTCGTGACTCGATGCCATTGTTTACTTTAGCCAAAATTGTTGGCAGATGCACTCGTAGGAACCGTTTAAAATTCCTGCTATTTCTTAGAGATGCTTTAAAAGTCCTTTTTTCTTTTTTTTCGAGTAGACAGGGACTTTTAAGGCCCCAAGTAATAGAGTGGTGTTTGTTAGAACTGAGGAACGATGATTTCGCTTGTGTACGTATTTGTATTGTCGGTAAAATTCCCGCTCAGTCCTATACTGAATTATACATTCAGTTCTTGGATAGAGTAAACAATGACAAAACAATAAATTACAATTGGGAAAACAGATTTGTTTTACAATATTATGGGGCTGTGTGGAAATTTTACCGTATTGTCTTTGCTTCTACCTCATAACCTGCACAGAAAGAAGTAACACGGGAATGGTACGTGAAATTGTGTTCTGGTCAAGTCAACGTTTGCAAGGGAGTGTTAAACAGGCTTAAAATGTTTAAGAAGAAGCATTTCAATCTTAAAAGTGACGTTAAACACCTCTGCTATAATCAACTCGTATGGGGTGATTAAATTAGCCAGATATGGTACATCCTTGATTAATGGGAGGGTTTGCATCCCTACAGTCTGTTGAGCAACGATACTATTGATCGGTAGACATATCTAAGTGTTAAACACTTGTGAACTTTGTAACAGATAGGAAGCACTGATCCATAAATCTATGTGCTTTATCATGGATTTTATCATTTCACATATGTGTTACTATCCTGCCCTAGTAAACCCTGAAAGGAGTTTTACAATAATGATATTGATTGTTTCACTTCAGAGGATTGCGATGGAAAAATTCACCCAACCTCTTTTGCTTCAACAGGTCCTAGTTAAGAATCATTTTGCTGGTTTAAACTTCATTGATACTTATGTCAGACAAGGAATCATGAAACTAGTACAACCTGGAGGAATCTTGGGATTTGAAGGAGCAGGGACAGTAGAGAAACTGGGTTCTGGTGTTCAGGGCCTCTCTGTAGGAGACAGGGTTGCATTTGGATTTATTGGCTCAAGTAAGTAATTATAAGGGCCACTCATAAACACTTTTCGCATCTAACATTTCAATTGATCTTGGCCTGCCCTCCAACCTTCCAGCCTCATAGTTATTGTTCAGGAATATAATTGCCAGTTTTCTCTCTGAAAGTGATAAGTAGTATGGCTAATTCCTTCTTACAGATCTCTTTTATCTTGATCTCTATTATAAGAGAGGGAGGGGTGTTGGGGGCATATGTACAAAGTTGACTTGTTACCTCCTAAAAAAATCCTTTTCACCATTGTTTACACCAACTGTTGTGTGACGTAACCTCTTATTATTAGCATACTCAAGTCACCTTTGTTTAGACTGATATTCACCATAACTATCTTTCTTGTTTTAAGATGCCTATTCACAGTACAGCAAAGTTGGAGCCAAATATGCTGTTAAAGTGCCTGATCAGCTTACCATGGAGCAAGCTGCCAGCACCTTATGGCAGGGGTTCACTGCACATGCGTTTGCATGTTCTTCTTATCCAATCAAAGCTGGAGACAAAGTTTTGGTTCATGCAGCTGCTGGTGGAGTTGGAAGCTTGATTACTCAGATCGCAAAGAATACAGGTACAGGCTGTCTTAGGTCAGATTGTTCCAAGTTTGTTTTGGGCAACAAACATTTTTGTCAAAATTAAAGTAAATATGATAAATGGGAAAAGCAATCAAATAACTTCTTCTTCATCTTTTGTCTTCTACTTTCCCCATTAAACTTTTTGAGCCGATTTATAGGAGCTTTTGTGATTGGAACAACCAGCACTGAGGCCAAAGCATCAAAAGCGAGGGAGGCTGGTGCTGATGAGGTCATTCTTTACTCACAGAAAGATTTTGTTGAAGAAGTCAACAGGATCACTGATGGAAAAGGGGTGACTGTTATTTATGATGGTGTTGGAAAAACAACATTCCTCAAGAGTAAGTAATTATATGAGGGAACTGTATACCATATGAAATTAGGTCAAATCCCACTTATCCAGCTTATTCTCAGCTCCATTTGAATTGAGGTGCAAGCATGGTAAGCAGTACATTGATATGTTTGTGACTCAGTGTTAGATCAAGCACTTTTCGATTGAGTGCCATAAAATGAAAACCAAAGTTATCAAAACAGCCAATCAGAACATGGGAAAAATACTACAAGGAGCTAATGAGAACTCAAAATAAAAACCAGCTAACTACCTAAAGTGCAGGAAAACATGGGAGACCAAGACGTGATTGGTTTTAGTTTTGAGTCTGGTTGGTTGAGATAGTGGTGTGAGTTTCTGGACCAGTGGCAGAACAAGGTAAACCGAAAGTGGAGCAATCCTGAATATTTTTCGATGATCACTTGATAATTGCTCTACCTCTATTGAACATTGCTTTGGTCCATGAAATTTAAAAGAAGGGGTCTGATATCCAACCATCATTATGGAACAAGCATGGTTAATAAAAAGAATATGAAATTGAAAACTATGCAAAATAATGGGAATGTGAATTCACAAAACATGTCTTGGTTTCCCAAGGAAAAGTAGATGGGCCCTACTCCAAAAGAGGATCAACATTTACAGTTCATAATATGAGAAAAATCACCATTGTAACAGATGCATCACTTGAATAGAGAGTAAAAATAATTTTAGTCAATTCTACTCCTTTTATTAGTGAAATGAGTTTAAAATGCCAGAAAGTAGTCACTGTGTATTTTTTCTGGACTTAAACAACACAAAGCTTAATGAAACTTTGCTAGTTTAAGGTGAAGGTTGGTTGGTTTGATAGTAATTGATCATCACTCAGTCATTATTTATCACTTGGGGAGGGGGGTTGGAGGACTTTGGTTGTGTCACAGTAGAGTGTACCTGACCCCTCCCCCCATCTAAGGCTGTGTAATATTCTTATGATCTTCCCCTCACTTAGAGTTAATTGGCAATTAATTTTCTACAGTCTCTCCTTTATACTCTGTCATCGACAACTGAT